GAGGCTGGGCTTTGCATTGCACGGGGACTGGCAGCGTCGCCACTGTGGGCCCTGTGCTGGCTGCAGCTTTTTGCTCCAGTCCTCTAGGCAAGGGCCAGGAAGGGACTGGTGCACTACACTGCACTGCGAGCGGCAGCATCACCACGGCCTGGCCAGGACACCACACTGGGACCAGGACCAGCACCACTGGCACTGGCCTGGACACTGCACCGCTGGGATCAGAACCATTCCCCATCCATACAGAGCCAGATCCTGCCCTGCCAGGGCTGGGAACAAACCCAGCAGCTCACAGCTGGGTGCAGCACCCAAAAAAGGCTCAGACAAGTGAGCGTGTCCCTGCATGCAGCTGAGCAGTGTGCCTGTCCCTGGGCACTTTGCCTGTTCCCCTACCCTGAGGGGCACAGCTGTGCCCCTGCTCCAGAGAGGTGCCATTCTCCCTGCTGCAGCTCACTGCAAAGCACATTGTACTTGAAGCACAGATAAGCACGTGGCTCCTACAGATGTGCTGTGCAACACTCATGGCTCTGCCTTCTTTTCACTGCAAATCATCCATATTCATGCCTCTGTCCCAAGCTGAGGATGGGCACTGCTCTGTGCCTTCACAAAACAAACTGCAAGGGACACTGCTGCCAGACCCTCCCTGCAACACACTGGTGCCTTCTCCCTGTCCCCATCAGTGTCCCCATCAGACCCAGCCTGGTGTTGATCCATAGATGGAGGTTCCCATCTTTCTCCTGAGTGGGATATCACACCAGCTTCCCCAGGGCTGCTGTGCCCCCCCATCCCTTGAGGGACAAACCTCCCAGCCAAAGCTTTCCCCCCACCAGAGCAGTCCCCTGGGGCCAGGGTGGTAACAGAGGGGATTTGTTGTGACAAGACAGTCATGCTTGTGCCAAGGCAGACCCAGCACAGCCCTGGCCACCCCCGGCCACTCAGATAGGGAAGAACAGGGCCACCAGGCCCCCACAATGTTCCTCCACTGGCTGGAGCCCCCTGCATTGAGGACTTGCTGCATGGAAGCATTCCACAGAGACTCCAGGGAACCTCTAGCCCTGCAGCAGCTCATCCTGCAGTCCCAGGGGTTAAGACACGCTCAGCAGCACATCGTGCCAAGGTTCCTCTCACTCCAGGTATATGATTGAGAGATGACTGGCAGTGGGCTCTCTGTGCTGCAGGTCAAGACCCCCCACTTGTATTCCCAAGCACTGGTTCATGGTGCTGAGTTGGAGAGGCAAAGGAAGTGGGCGAACCAAAATGAGGTGAGGGAGCTGGTTTTCCCCAGGAGGTCGTCTTTAGTTCTCAGTATCCTTCAGATCTCTCTTTCATAGTGCTGCTGGAGCACCAAGCACAGACCCAGCAGTAAATTGGGTTGAGCAACAGTACCAGGCTGGAGGGCATGGAAGGGTTTGATGCTGGAGCCTTTAGTCCACCCTCAGGCTGGGCAGCCCCAAGTGCTGCCTAAGGGGAGGTGTGGAGATTCATCAGCAAGGACTTTCTGGAACAAAGCACACAGCAAACCCAGTGTGGGCTGCTGATGCAGCAGAGGAGCCAAATGGGGAGGAAAGTTCTGTGTTGATGGGTGTCAGCAGCAGCACTGAATCCCCTCGGTTTGAAATCCAGCCTTGAGCAGAAAACTCTTGAGAATGGGACAGCTGATGGCCTGGCCTGTGCAAGACCAGTCTAGTTATCTGGATATTTTTAAGTATTGTTTTTCTTCCTTATCACTCATTGGGCATTTATTACAGATTCACAAATGGAAGTGCAGCAAATCTGCATTTTCCACACAGTTTTGACCTTTGTTTCAGGTGTGACCAAATGCGAGCAGATCTAACAAAGATTCACATTCCAGATTAGCTCAGGTACTCAGCTCCTTCAAACCTGCTGCAGTTCCCATTGCTTTGGACACAAGGTCCATGCTCATCTCTTAAAGTGGTACCTGAGCAACTGCATTTTAGCTTTATTTCATCCTTGGTTTAAACCTCCCTCTAAGCCTGCTCTTCTGCAGATGGAGCTGAATGGGCTTAGAAACCTGCTAGAACAGCCACCTGGGAACACGTCCAATTTAATCTGCAGGCAGAAATGCAGCTGAAAATGATCAAAAGATTTTATTAAAATCTGGGTTAATTGTGACTTGGGAGAATTTCTAAGACCAGAGTGTACTTTTGCTCTGTGGTGGTGTTTTTGCCTGGCCCTGACTTTCTTTGTGGAGTCAGATATCAACTGTGTGCACACCATGTGAGAAGATCATTGGAAAGAACACTTAGGAGCAGATCAGTGATAACCAAGTGACAGTCCTGGATTCCAGAACTGTACTATTCTTCTTTTTAGGTAATTAAAAAACAGCAAAAACAGAGGGATGAGAAATTGAGAAGCGGAACACCTCATTGAGTAAGTCTTTTATATACTGACAGGAATCAAAGATGAGGCCAGCAAGTAACTGCTGGTAGCAGAATAGGAGTAGAAAGATGTGGAAACTTGGGGGGTTTTGGATTTCATTTTTTAAAGTTTTTTTTCTATAGTTTTGCCAGCAGAAATCTCAGCCCCTACTCAACCCCCTACTGCCATTGCTCACCAGTGCCTGCCATGACACCAGCACAGAAGACCTCACAGAAGATCCAGGCCAAGATCTGCAGCTATCCAGCAGCTGTGCCTGTTACCTGCTAAAATCTCCTGCAGGGCAAGGAGATTGCCTGGCTGGTCTGGGAGACTGTGCCAGGAGGCTTGGCTGTAAGCAGGGAATGATTTCTTCTTCCCTGGCAGCCATGTGTCTTTGGAAGCTGCCACACAGAGGTGGCATTTCCAGATGACAGTCACCAGGCTGCTCCAGAGCTGGGAATGCCATTATTCCTGTTGGGACTCGATAATGTCAGAGGGCCCTGAGAATGGAGAGAGACACAGTGACTGCAGGAAGCAATTCTGTGACCTGTCTTTTATCCAGCACCAGCCTTTCCTGGCACACTCAAAATACCTGAGAACTGCTGTAACACCCCCTTGGTTCCCCAAAAATTGACAGCCTGACGTGCCAGCCTTCACTCTCTTGTTCAGAAAGTCATGGGTAGAGCAAGAAGGCATTGCAAAATCTCATCTCTTTTTGAGGCAAGAAAGGAGATTTGGGCTTGTGCTTGGGTTCAGCGACCCATCTCAATGGGGTGATCAGGCTGGATTTGGGTTGTGTTGCTGCTGGCCATGGTTTTCTCTGAGGAAAAATGCAGCCAAAATTTGAGAGCGTGGGATGTGCTGGTGAATCATGAGCAGAACAAAACTTCCTGGTAGAAGAGGAAAGTCAGCCTTGGTGGAAGAAAAACAGAGAAGGGTTCCCACATTTCAAAGGCTGCAAGTGAAGCGGGTAAGCTTTAAGGCCAAATATTCAAATTAATGCTTTTTTTGGCAAGTCATTTGTTTGTTTTGTGAAAAAGCATTCCTTTGAAATCCTGAAACGGGTAGGACTTGCATATGAGTCACCTTTGATAGGAAAATTTTGAGCAATCCTTGGGCAAACCAAGTGAAAGCTGAAGTGCTCTCCGTGCCCCTGTCTGGCACCAGGTGGCACACGTGCTGCCGCTTGGAATTTAGGGCTTGGGCAAACCGAAAGTGACAGCCAAAACACAAGGTAGCAATATCGAACTACAGCAGCCTGTACTAATGCCAGCTTTACAAGGAAATTAACATTGTATTTATTCTTGCTTGTTACCTATAAAACACGGTAGAAAAGTTCGACAGTGTCAGAAAACCTCACACAAAAATCACGAAAAAGTGCATGGTGATATATTTAGAACAGAAAACCACCATTTGTTTCTACCACTGCCAGAAGAAGTTTCATAGCACATAGAGTTATTTCAAGTTTTTAATCTTGAACATTAAATGTGCTTTGCCTACCCAAACCCCGGGGGTGAGTGGAGCTGGTGTTCAGGTAGTTTGGCACTTCTTAAGGATGTCTGTCCAGACTATGCCATTCTGAGCTTTCAGGCTCTGTGCTGGGAGGCTGGACCAAGCTGTCTAAAGGAATTTGTTTCTTCGTGCCAGAAAAGAGCATGTCTGCTATAGACAAGGAATAAGCTCTGTGCTACCTGCTGTAAAACCTTGCTAAACATTGTTGAGGGTTGGCACCATGAAGTCAGGGTGAAATCTGGTCCCTAAAATAATATGGAGGAAGAAGTGCTGTGATACCAAAGCCAGGAATTCCACGTTATGCCAATGACGGTGCTCACAGGGCTGCCAAGTAAAAATGGATGTGTACCCCTCTTGGAGACACCCACCCCATTTCGAGCAGAGGGGACAGGGTTATGACCGCTGTGTGTGGTGGGGTGCGAGGGCACAATGTGTTTGCCACCCACCCACGAGCACAAGCACTGTGTGTGCGTGAGGACTGTGCCACTGGCCGTGCTCACTCTGCTCTCTGTGCCCGCTAGATACGACAGCGTGTGCTGTGTGCCGAGAGCCGCTTTTCATGCTCAAGCGCCTGGCTGTACCTGGGCACCGCTGTTGTGGCGGTGAGGATGTGAACAGGGGCGCACCCCTGCCCGCACCTTCCGTGCAGGTGATGTCCCCACAGGGCAAAGCGCTGGGTCTCTCTCTCCAGGTGCAGGCGTGTCTCTCGGGGTGCTCCCGGGAGTGCAGGGTGTCCCTGAGCGCAGGGTGCTCCCGGGTGCAGTGTGTCCCTGAGCTCAGGGTGCTCCCCGGGGTGTGCAGGGTGCTCCCGGGAGTGCAGTGTGTCCCTGAGCGCAGGGTGCTCCCCGGGGTGTGCGGGTGCTCCCGGGTGCAGGGTGTCCCTGAGCTCAGGGTGCTCCCGGGGTGTGCGGGTGCTCCCGGGTGCAGGGTATCCCTGCGTGCGGGGTGCTACCGGAGGTGCGGGGTGTTCCTGAGCGCAGGGTGCTCCCAGTGCGGGTTTCTCCCAGGGTGTCCCTGAGCTCAGGGTGCTTCCCGGGGTGTGCGGGGTGCTCCCGAGTGCAGGGTGTCCCTGGGTGCGGGGTGTCCCTGGGCGCAGGGTGCTCCCGGGGTGCGCGGCGCTCCCGGAGCCGCCCCGCCGGGGCAGCCCCTCCCCGCGGGCGGTCTTTCCCTTTCGCTCCTTCGGTCGCTGCCTCTCGCTCTCCCGGTGCGGGCGGGCGCGGCGGGGACGGCGGCGCAGGGCTGTGTCTCTGTGTCCCCCATGGCGCTGGCGGCCGCCCGAGCGCGGGCTCTGCGCGCCCTCCGCCTCCCGCGCCCCCCGGGCCGTGTCCCGGTGCCGGCCCGCAGCCCCGCCAGCCCCGCGGGGGCTCCCGGGGCGCTGCCGCCCGGCGGGTACCGGGCCTGGCGGGAGCGGGCGGCCCGCGACCCCGCCGGGTTCTGGGCGGACGTGGCGCGGGGGTGGCTGCGCTGGGACAGTCCCTTCCACACGGCCTGCCGGCCCGGCGAGACCGCTGGTTCCGCCCGCTGGTTCCTCGGCGGCCGCCTGAACGTCTCGGGTAAGGGGTCCCGGCCGCGCATCCCCCGCGCCCCGCCGGACGGGAGGCGTCCCCGCGGGGAGAAGTTTCGCCGTCGCCCGTCTTTGGGGGTGAAAAGGAGGATTTCGGTTGGGCGGCGCTGGGAGGAAACAAGCCAGGAATTGCGAAATGCTGGAAGCGGGGAGAAAATCCGAAGCCGGGATAACCCCGGCTAAGCCTCTTGCCCGGGCGCTGCCTCGCGGGCGGCCGCCCTTCGACCTGCGGAGATCGGCCCCGGGATGGGATGCCCACTTTGGGCTCTGCCGGGTGCTGCCCGGCCCCGTGGTGGCGCAGGATGATCCACAGGTGGGGTACAGTCCCAAGCTGCCATAAAAAGGATTTTTTTTCCCCTTTTAAACGAGGATCTTGGTATTTTCCTCCAATTTCACCACTCAACATGAAGCAAGAGTAAAATTTGCCGTGGCTGCCTTTGAATTCTGTCCATGCCATGTCTGCCCTGAAGGTTCATGTGTGCTTCAGCTGTGCTTCATCTGGTGGGAATGAGCCCCAGCCCCATCCAGGGTACCACTCAGCGGTGATGTCTTTGAACATTTCTGACCTTCATTTCCCATTCCTCGAGGAGGGCACCATTCAGTAATGCAGTAACTGTAACATCTCTGGCCACTTGTTTTGACGGCCAAAAGAGAGAACCCCCCTCAGGTCTTCCAGAGAGCATTAGAGAGTGTCTCCTCCCAGGGGATGATTCCCAGCAGTGGATCCCAAGCTATGGAGATGTGTTTACAGCCCTGTGCCCAGCACACAGCAATCAGAGGATTTTAGCCAGTTTTGTTGTCATTAACTCCTGTTGAAAGGAAGATCTTCTCTGAGCACAGCCTATCATGGATCTATTTTTTTCCTCTGTAGAGTGGGATCAACACTTTCTTCTGGATCCCACGTCAGATATTTGATATCTAGATATTGCTTGGCCTTGGGTCTGGTTCCTCAGCAGACAGAAAATGCCACTTAGTTTTTTTTTTTGCAAACATAAAAGGAAATTGTAGGCCTTTGAAACAAACGCACAGAATTAAACGGGTTTGCTGTTGCTGGTTTTGTTTTCAAGTGTGATGAAGGCAGTGTGGAGGACACAGGAAGTGAGATTTTTTCAGTACTTTGCCACAGCCAAGTGGCTGTTCTTCTGTTAGGAGACGCTGATTTTGTCCTTTCCCCTCTTGATTTGAACACTGTGCAGAAACATGGCAGCAGTTCAGGTCCCTGATCCAGAACATCCTGTGTGCATATCTCCCAGCACAGCCGAACCATGAGCAACCGAGTCACCTGATGCTCTTTGCTTGGGGGCCCTTGCAGCAGGATTTTGGGGAGCTTCAGGGCTTCTGGATTTCTCACACTGTAACCCCTGGCCAGGAAAATAACCTGGCAAACTACTACATTTCCCACCAGGACACATTCTCAGGAGCTTGTCTTACTGAGATCAATTGTTTCTGAGCAGTCAAGGAAGCAAGGAAATGTACGGAGAAACCACTAGGGTGTAGTAGTAAGGGGAAGGTCACTAAATTCTATTTTGTAAAATGAGCAAAAGACTCATGTAAGCCTAAGATCAGGAAGGAAATAATAGCACTTGGCTCTGGTTCACCTGCTGGTTCTTACTGAACACAGAGCTAAATCTCCCACTTGGCTCAGCCAGGGCTTTCTGCAGCAGAAATTCCCTCTGAAGGCCCGTGTGGCTGCTCATGAGTAAGAAAAGTTGTTTGGGCAATGAATGCCATTTTGTGATTCAGTGTAGCATGGCACATTATGTGAGGGTGTAGCTGTGAGGAGCTTGGAGGTGGGAGTTGCTGCTTGTTGTGGACCAAGCCACAGCAATGAGCACAGGTAGAGGAAAGCAGTGTATAACTGCTTAAAAAATTCCCCACTAAAGCTTTTGTCCTCTTGTATCTTATTAGGATGGCTTAAGAAATGACTTTGTCTTATTTTTATAGTACTGCTGCAGGATTTTGCATTAAAAGACTTTAAACAGCTGAAGAATGCTTTTTCAAAATTTTGAGACTAATACTTGTTCTTACAATGAAATGTGTTAAATTCTGAGGAATTTCTTTCTCTGTGCACCTTTAGGGTCTCATTCCCACCCTGTGTGGTGTTGTGATGGTGTGATCACAGACCAGCAAAGCTCCTACAGCACACAGCTTTTTAAAATTTATCTAGAAAAATGAAATCCTTTCCCATCAGTATTAATGTTTCCAGGAAATATGACCTGAAATCCAGCAATTTTTAAAAAGGTTTTCTCTGAGTTATGCAGCAGTGTCCCTGACTAGTTGCCTGTTGAAATAAAGTAACTGCCTTTGAAAGATTCCAATGCAATAAGTAAGTGTCCTATAGGCTTGGAATTAATATTTAACAAGGATGTTCCCTAACTATCAAGCAAGTTGCTACTGGACATGTGGGCAGGTTTCTTTTGTGGATTCTATAAATTTCTTCAGGTTGGGTGCTCTCCCCAAGTCCTTCATTTCAAGTTACTGAGGGGGAGAGATGCACCTTTAAAAGGGAATTTTATACCTTTAAATTTTAGGAGGTGGAATACGCAGCCTGAGACACATTAATCTTTCCCATGGGTCTGAAAATTTGTAGATGTCTGAACTTTGAGTTTGCCATAGATCCTTCAGTTTTAGACATTTTCAGTTAGCTGAGGTTCAGCTCTTTGTTATACCCTGGAACAAAAATGTTTCACATGAGCTTTAATTAGAAAATCCAAATGGTGCAGTGCTAAATATGCCAGCTGGGGAAGACTGTCCGAGTTCTGCAGTGGAATGCTGCTCTGGGGAGCAAAAACATCAAAAGGGTGTCTTGCCTTTGTGCTGCTGGGAGCAGGGGAAGGATTTGGGCTGGAGCTAAATGGCTGACTTGAGCCATGAATTCAGCCCATATCTGAATTTGCCATGGCCTCTCATGAGCATCCATCTCTAAGGCCACTGTGCCAATTAAGTGTAGAATGTGTTGTATAGCTTTACTGGAGCTGCAGATGTTCTCAGTTCCTGTGTTATACTTTGGTGTGTGTCTAGCAACCCAAAAACTGATGTTTTATCTTGCACTTGCTTGCTGTTGCACTTGACCAAGCTAGGTTTACAAAGCACCTTTCATATGTTCAAGCTTTGTTTAAAGCTTTGGGTTGTTTTTTTTTTACAGTAAATTGCTTGGATCAGCATGTCGAAAAGTCTCCAAACAGAGTGGCTCTGATTTGGGAGAGAGATGAACCTGGCACTGCAGTGCATGTCACATACAGGTATGGCACCTTCTCACTATGCCTGGCAGTGTGGGGGACACAGGAAATGGGATTTTTTTCACCTGACAGTTTCCTTTTTGCTTGCTGGAGATACACATGGGAACATTTCTGTGAGTAGCTTCTAGTTTCAGCAGAGTAAAAAACGTCTTGGTGCAAATATCTTGAGTTGATGGTCAACAGCCTGATACTGAGCCCTGGCTGGAGGGGATTTTAAGCTCTCCATGTTTCTCTTTCCCTTCCTCAGTGCAGTTTAGAGCAACCCTGAGGCTGCTCTGAGTGACACTGACTTGTAATTGATGCTATAGATTTCAGGGTTTGTTAGAATATGGCAGGTTTAAGCATATTTCTTTTCTCCTTGCTATGTGCCCTCATTTAGGAGACAGCCCTGCCTTTTGCATTATCTTTAGTGAGATTTAAATGTTCCCCAGACTTGCACGTTCCTCACTGCATGTTTAGGGAGCCAAATGTTTGAGCTGCTGAATCTCAGGGAGCCAGATGTTTGCTCTGCTAGATCAGAAAGCAGAGGAGATGAAGAATGTCCCTAGCATCAGGCCTTTACAGAATGTTTTCTGGAACTTGTTGGGATTCCTAGAGTTCCTTGGGTCTGAATAGGTTCTATGGTCTGATTCATCTCCAGAATTTATGAAAGCTCCTGGAAACATTATTCATTCGAGTGAGGAAAGTGGTCAGCAGGGAGGAGTGGGTGTAAAAATAACTTTGAGAGGTTAGTGCTCCATGCAACAGAAATAAACACTGTCTGATACAAATCTGTGAAAGGAGTGCATTGGTTTTAATCTTGATATTGTTATTTGGCAGGGTGTTTAGGCCTGTTATGATATAAATGTGTTGTAATGAGCTGGGTAGCTTGGCTAAGTGCTTTTGCATTTTGCCATTCTGGTGGTAAACACGGAGATGGAGCCCAAAGTTTCTCCCGGAGTTTATGTATGGTATGTTTTTCTCCCAGGTTTGTGCACTTTTACCTCTCTCTTTATGCCTCAGGCACGAACACTAGGGGTAAGGAAAAGGTGACAATTGTGCTCAGATCAACCTGATAAGAGAAGCATCCCAACAAACAGCACAGCCTCATTCAAGGCAGCTCTAACCTCCCCCTCAGGCTGCTGCTTGAAACGTACTGAGCTTGTACAGACACTCAAACATCTTATCTGCAATCTCTGGAGATAAGGGACAGCCTTTCTGAACAGCAACAGGACTGGTGTTTTTTTCCTGTCCATGCCCAAGTGCATTTGGAAGAAAGTATATTTTCAGCTTGTGGAAATGTGATTGCTGTGACATGAAGACAAGTAACCCATATCTGAAAGCTGAACCCTCCTTTGTGCAGCCTTACTGAGATACAGTAACTGGTACCAGAAAGGAGAAAGACGTATTGGCAATCTCTATTTTCAAACTTCTGCCTCTATTTGAGAGCCATGTTTCTGTTTCTGCCTGCTACTCTGGGTCAGATCTGACTGCGTTTGAGTTTCTCAAGAGACTTTGGTCCTACCACGTGGTAAAACAGGTCACTTGGTTCTCTGCTTATCTCATTAAGGCAGGAATAGCTTTGTTGAAAACAGCAGTACTCTATGAGTATTTTGCCTTTTCTGTGGTCTTTGGGCTGCATTTTTACAGGTTTTTAATGTGTCAGGAAGCTTTTCCCACAGCGTGTTGGCATTGACTTCCCTTTGAGACAGAGCTTAGTTGAAAACCTTTTGCAGTAGTGCCTTATTTGAGCTAGAAATTTTGTGAGGGAAAACCTATCAGAGAAGGAAGTGGCCCAGGAGCTGGGGTGCTGGTAGTCCTTGGTGAGCCTTCTGTAGCACATCAGACTCAGCGTGAAGGGAGGATGAGAGGGATGCTGGACATGTCTTGGCAGAAGGGAGATTCCCCTTTCCTTAGGCTCTGGGTGTCCTGTTAATGTCACAGCAGCCTTAGAGTGAGGACTTAGCATTCTAGGAAAAAAAAAGACTTTAATTTGGGCACTGTCTTATGGACCAGCTTTGAGTAACGTCATGGATTCAGCTGGGAGAGAGCTGTCCAGGGCTTATGTGCAACATGCTTCAAGGCACCGGTTTTCTGCATTATCTGCTTGGCAAAGCTTGCTGCTGTGAGCTGCTTCTCCTCAGAGATAAGCCCTGGGCAACACAAGGAAAGATGCAGCTGCTGGCCTGGTCCTCTGCCTTCTCCTCTGGGAAGTTGTCAGGGACGAGAAAACAGCTGAGTGCTGGCCTTGTTCCCATCACAGCCTGCAAAGGAAGAAGGTGGATGTGCGGGAAAAGGGCTGGAACAAGCTTTCTCCTCCCTGAGGAAGGGGAAAACCTTAATCAGTGGGATGTCCTCCATGCACTGGCAGGAAACAGAGCTGCACTGGAAAGTGCTGTCCCAGCTAGCTCATCCTTGGCAGAAATAAAAGCCTCAATTTGCCTCCACAGTGGGCAAAAGCTGGTGGGCTGTGCTGTCAGTCAGCCCACATCCCTGTGCACCCTTGTCAGCCAGGTGGGTTGTGTTTGTGCAGCAGAGTTCAAGTGCTGTGTGCTAGGGAAGGAATCCAAACATCTGCTGGTGGGCAAAGATGCCCAAAGCCATGGGTGAAACATTTCACTTTTGCACCAGGAGATGATGGCTGTCCTTACAAGCTCAGTTGTGATGATCTTTTCCACTGCTGAGTTTTGTCCTGTCTCTCTAGCTGATGCAAGGAAGCATCAGCTAGAGAGACAGCCTGTCAAGAAAAAAAATGTTCATTGGCTATTTTTGCTTTTCTTTCCTGTACGTTTGGTTTCTATCAAGTAGAAATTTATCTCAGTTTCTAGTCATCTCTGGTTTTGAATGAGAAGGCAAGAGACTTGGTTTTTTACTACTATGTAACAACAGGAAGTACAAACCTCTTTGGCTTTTGTGGCTGCAGTCAGCAAAGTGGGGACAGGTCATGCAAATCAGTTATCAAGAGGCTCTCTGGCTCCCCAGAGGCTAAGCCACCACAAGCTCATTGGTAGGGCAGTGGCTTAGCAGCACTGTGGTGCTGTGAGCTGACAGCTGAATTTATTGTCAGAAGAGTCCAACCAGACCAGGAGTGTTTTGTCCTGCTCTGTGGATGTTGTCAAGGCTCAGAGCCTTTGAAACCTTGCAGAGGAATTTCCCAATGCATTGTTGAGCCTGGGTTTTTAAAGTACTGTGCCTTATAAAAGCAGGTGGAGTTGGTGGCCGGAGCTGTTGGGTTGCAGCCTAAGTTCAACAACAGGAGGTGTTGGAGACACAGCTAAAGTTAGCCAGCCCTCCCTCTGTGTGACATTGGAGCTGTTGGGTTGCAGCCTCTCTAAGTTCAACAAAAGGAGGTGTTGGAGACAGCAGCTAAAGTTAGCCAGCCCTCCCTCTGTGTGACATGGAGTTATTTATTCTCTCTGGCGTTCCCTGGTTTACCATGGTCTCTACAGTTTATCCACCTGTGACCCAGTGGATCTGCAAAATCCCATGGCTGTTGTCAATGGGAGCTGTGGGAAGTGGGCAGCAGAATGCATTAGCTAAACTGTTTTTCATAAGGGTTGCAGGTCTCAAAAGAAGGGTGATCATTTTGGTGCAGAAAATGTTTCTGCCAGAGGGAAAGTTCAAAATGCAAAATATAAAGTAGGGAGAGAGGAAAGCTAAAGGACCAGAAATCAGGGTCCTGGGTAGGTGGGAGAGAAGTGGTTGGACATCTTCATGAGCAACATGACAGCTATGCCTTTAAAAATGGATTCCTCAGCCTGAGCTAATGTAGATGAAATTGTATTAAAGATCACAGTGAAGACTGTAGCTGGAAGCCATGATGGTACTTGCCATTGGCAGCAAAACTCTTTTCCAGAGCTGTCTTTGTGAGTTGCAAGTAAATCTTGCTCAGGCTTCCAGATTTCCCCATCCAAGACAGCTGATGGATTTTTCGCTTTGTCACCTGAAACAGGTTACAAAGGGTTTCCCTTGCCTTAGGTTCAGGATGTCTGCAGGAAGGCTGGGCAGTTTTCTCTGATGGCCAGTTTGGACACTTGGCCTGAATTTTCAAACAGTTTCAGCCTAATCCAAACTATGGTTCCAGGAAATAAACTGATTGCTGCAAGAAATAGTCAACCCAGCTTTTGTGTCATGACAGCAGAGAACATGGCTTGGGCTAAGGCTCTAAACCAGGTACTCTCAAAGCCTGTATATGTCATTAAACATATTAAGAAAAAGTTTACAATCATTTTGCAAAAGGCTGCTTCCCAAAGAAGGTCTTGATGCAATTTTTTTTTTTAATGTAAAAGGAACTGGCTTCCTTTGTTTCAGAAAGCTGTACGCTGTCTTGCTGTGGCAAAAGGTAACATCAGGCTTACTGGAAGGCTGTTTGTGCAAAGCATCCCTGAAATGCATCAGAGAAGTGCCACGTGGTGCTGATGGGTGTTACAGAAGTTGTTCCAGACACTGCACCGAGCAGTGGGCTCTGGAAGCTGTATCTGGGGAGGGATCTGGGAGAAATATGGTCTGTCAGTTCCTGAACAGAGATGTAAGGACAGGGAGAGGAGTGCTGGCTGTCAGATTAAACAGGACTGGCTAGAGCAATGATGTGCTGGCTCTGTTGGAGGGCCAGCCTTGTAGGTCTTGTGCTTAGGAGTGATGCTGTGGTAGCTGAGGAGATGCCTGCATAGTGAGTGATGAGTCTGGAAGACAACAGGCTCAAAGCCTTATCTATGGACAAAATGGAAGCACACCTTATAGATAGAGACAGACACAAGAGTTAATTATTAGTTTTAGCCCTTAACACTCTAATCTTCTTACTCAAATCCTATATCATACAGAAAGAAATAGGTCCTGTTGGTTACCACCGATACCCACATTTGTCCAGCATCTGGTGAACATGTCTCTTTCTGGTCCTTTGTGTTCATTAATGCCTCTGCCATCTTCCTGGCTTGCTTTGTTCTAAATGCACAGGCTGGATCTATTGCTCTTTCTCCTCAGCAAATGGTTTCCCCTTCTGGTTGCTGCTTCCCCGTTTCTCCTCGCTTCTCTGACACTTTACCCACTGGAGCAGTGTTTTCCTGTACAATTTGTTCTCTTACTTGTTCTCAGCTCTTGCAATTTGCTTTTGCAGAGGATCCTCAGGCTGTTGTTGCCATGGATTGACTCTGTGGTTTCTCACTTTCTCGCCCGTCTCTGTCAGGAGGGGCTGGGCACTTCCTTGTGCTTGCAGCACATTTCCTTCTCCTGCAGTGGCTCTGCTGAGATCCTCCTGCTGTCTGCCCTGCTTGCACAGAGGGAGCTGAGTGCCCCAGGACCCTCTGTGTGCCCCAGGACCCTCTGTGTGCCCCATGGCTTTGTTCCTCTCTGGTGGTTATTCCTGCCTCCCTCTGCTGAGTGCAGTGCCCTGCTCTGAGTGCCTGCACTGAAATCCTTGGGAATGCAGGCAGCAGGTGCATGTGCCATGCTGCCAACACACCTTCCGGCCAGCATTCCATGCCATTGCCTCTGTGTCAGGAGTGGGTTTGAGGGTTTCAGTTACTCTTGGCTCTTCTGACCTTGTGTGATGGAGGAGCTACAATGCCAAGCTTGGCAGTAGTAGCAGATGGGGAGGGTGATGGTGGCTGTGGTCTCCTGCTGCTCAGTTTGTTTAGGTGCAGTGACTGCACAGTGCTCATTCCTCCCCAGGATGTGTCTGGGTTGAGGACTGACAGTGTGTAACACGCTGCCTGCCTGTACCAGCTGCCTGCCTGTTAGATTACAAAATGTGCTTGAAGGAGTCAAGGGAAGGATTCCTGACACAGTATTTCTGCTAACTCCCTTTCTTGAGCTGGAGAGCAAGCCTGACTTGCTGCCACAAGAGCCAAAAGACATACCTGATGCTCAGGAATTTGTCTTTGTTGGAGTTCTTGGCTTCACCTTTCCCTCACCTTTGTGTCCATTCCTCCATGTGCTGCAGCTCTGAGGGACATCCAAGGCCTTTCTATCCCAGCATTTCAGCATACAAAGAAGAGGCAAATAGATCCATGGGTAAAGACTGATCCATGTTGTCTATCATCTTACTTACACATGCTCATTAAGCAAATGTCAAATTGGGGTTAATAATAAAAAACAATGAGAGCTTCTGCCATTGTGGTCACCAAATCCTGAATAAGCAAAAGGAACAAGAGAAGTCATGGAGTTGCTCAGAAAACAAACCTTAGACAGAGATACTCTGGCATTTCTGTATGGGAGAAAGAGGCTGCAGCTCAGAAAGCACATGAGTATTTTCCATTGCAGATAAGTAGTTTCAATTTTTCTTTCTCACAGCTGTCTCTCTGCGGCTGGTTTCCCTTCATGTGCATTGTAGTTGAGCAGCTTTTGTTTTGCCTCTGTTATTTATCCACATTGAAACTTTTCTTTGATTCAGCATCAGGTAAATTCCAAACCTGAAAATTTGGCCTTTTAGGACAAGACACCAAACCAATGGTTGGGTGGGAATTCATTATTTCACAGAGTTGCTCAGTTCATGAACTCAGTAAAAGCAAAATAATAAGTCTGACTGTGCACCTCCATGGTCATGAGGGGCTTGGTAAGAAGTATTCAATGTTGTGCTTTAGAGTTTAGGCTGATCTTCCACTATAAGGGATTAGGGAGAATTCAGTCTGGGGTGCAGTTACTCCATCCCTGCTTTCTGCAGGTTTGTGGTCTCTGCAGGGGCAGCTGTTACCAGCTACTGCCAGAGAACAGGCACTGAACACATCTGGCCACCTCTCTGAGTTCAGAAATGGACTGTTTACTTGATGCTATTGGAATAGTCTTAGAATAAATAACATGAAGTGCTTGGCCTTGGATTTGTCTCATTTTCCTTGTCTTCCCTCTTGGATTAAGACAAGTTAAGGTGTGGACACTCCAAAAATTACTTATTCTCAGCCCATAGTTTTGATATTTCCAAAGCAGAGCACTTCAGATTTTATTTCCAACTTGCGAGGGTTTAAAAAAAGGAACAAAATAATTTTTGATGAACCAGGAACAGCTTTTCATTTTATTTGCAGCTTAGCTGCAGTTGAAAATTGGGTTTTTTTTGCAGCTATTGCCAGTTATGGAAGAAGAGGATACTTAAGATAAAGATTCATGCTTTACAGCTTGTTAGGGAATGCAACCCCCCAAATGAATTTCTTTGTTAAAAGTTATGGGGGTCCCTGGTGGTATAGCTTAGAACCCCTAAGGGTTCACAGGTGGCAGGGTGATGATGAACATGCTGGAGAGTAGAAGATGTCTCTCTTTTCTGAGCCTTGGTATTCAGAGAATTTATGAACCCAAAGGACAATTCCTCTGAGCTGATGATTGGCCCCAGAAGGAGGGCTCTGCTGCCCCTTGTCAGCACCCTGTGCTGCACCCACTCCCTTGGCATGAGCCCACTCCTCACCTGGCACAGTATCCCTTGTTCCCAAAGCCCTTCCACTGCAGGTGTACAGAGCTGTCCAGTCCATGGCAGCATCCTGGTCCCAGCTGTACCTGCAATTGTGTTATCCCCTGTGCAGGCATCAGAATAAGGGAATGTGCAAGCCCTTGCCCACAAAGTGCTTTTTCATTCCTTAGAGGAACGTTTTTGCTGTTGTCACCATGTCATAGCAGAGTCCCATGAGAAGAGACTTTGTTCCTGTTCTTGGTGCTGCTGAGTTTCTCTGTGCAAGAGTGGCAGCAGTACCTGTGTTCTGCAAGGCTGTTGGGCTGCAGGTGATGCAGCTCTGATGAGAATCTTGTAAAGTCTGCCCCTCATACAAGTGCCTCCAGAGTTCTCCTTTCTTTCCTTGTGCATGCAAACGTGTTGCTTACCCTTGCAATTTAAAGAGAAGCTCCTGGTTGTGGAGCACTTCCAGCTGTTGCCCCACTTAGACAGTGTGGCAAATCTTTGGACAACACTTCCATTTCATCTTGTGTTTATCCCACTTGTGTTCCCAGTGGCTTTGACTGAGCCTCATGGGTAAAATGGCATCGGCAGTGACTGAAATGAACCCTGATTTCTGGAGGCAGCATGACAGCACCTGGCTTGCTGGCTGCTGTGGCCACATTACAGCCTGGCAGCTCTGGACAGTGCCTGCAGCTCTCCCTCCTGTCAGAACCACTCTGCCCTTTCTTCTCCCCTCCACAATGGCAGGAGCAGCCTGGCTACCAGCATGCCCCCATCTTCTTTAAGATGCCCTGCACTGCTGAGATGAGGTGCAGAGGTGATCATGAAGCCTCACTCTGCCCAAGTTCATCTTTGCTCACCCCGTGTAAATCAGGTTGTGCAGTCACATGACAACATTCCTTCTGTGCCACAGGGAACTTCAGGATCTGACTTGCCGCCTTGCCAACACCCTGAAGAAATATGGGATCCAGAAGGGGGACAGGGTGGCCATCTATATGTCTGTGTCCCCCTTGTCAGTGGCAGCCATGCTGGCTTGTGCCAGGATCGGGGCTGTTCACACTGTGGTCTTCGCTGGATTCAGCGCTGAGTCCTTGGCTGGGAGAATCATGGACTGTGAGTAGATGCAGACTGGGGAACAAACACCTCTGTTCCAGTGCTCCAAGGTGTATCCCAGCCCTGTGTTTTCTTGGCAGAAAGAGTTTTCTTGGTTCATTCTCTCCTAGCAGGGCAGTTCACTCTCCCCTGCAGAGTGCAGTGAGGAGCCTTTTCCTGAGTGACACCTGCAGTGTCCTCTGGCCTTAGAATACTTAATAAATTGCTTAACATTCAGTGTACACTGGGTTGTTGCTTGACAGCAGTGAAACTGGAAGGAAAACCAGAGCTTAGGAATAGGGCCTGATTTGTTGTTTTGCAGTATAATTGCAATGTTTCTTTGATACTCTTGGACAGAACTAATTCTGCATTCTCAATTGGGATCCTGTGATTTATGTATAGTACTGGAAGTGTTGGCAGCCTGCCCCTGCTTTGTGAGCCCTTCTACCAGCAGACAGAGCTGTTCTCAGCCCCAAAGTACTTGTATATTGTGATTAGGTAAAAAGTGATGCTAAAAATAGCAACAGAAGAGGGAAATAGCCAGTGGCTCACGTCCTAGCAGTCACATCAGTTTATTTGTGGCTAGTGTGAGGGAATAAGTTTTACAGAAATTGTATGTTCTTTTCTTCTTTTTAGTGGAGTTGATGTGCAGAGAGCAAGTACATGTTTTAGTTATCCCTCACACAGGGAACTGGGAAGAAGCTGCTCTGCATGTCAGCTTTGCAAGGCAGGGATGGATGATTTAAACTGCAGTGAATGACACTTGGGCTGGATGTTGGGAAAGACTTCCTCACATTCATGATAGGCATTGGAGTAGACTGCTGGGGAGAGGGTAGAGCAGATGCCATTGGAGTGTTTTAGGAAGATGGAAGGGATAGCTGTCAGCTGGTTTAGCTGAAGCAGACCCTGCCTTGAAGTAGGGGAGATGGACTGGATAACCTATGGAGGTCCCAGGGGAGGACCCTTAATCTCAGGGGTCTCCCTTAACCTGTGTGTCTCAGGTTTTAAAGTGTTTTCTTCAGTGACACTGAGTGGTTTTTACTGACAGCAGTACTGAGTATTTGTCACACATGTGTCCTATACATCACCCCCAAAGTAATGAAAGTTAGGTGTGCATACTAGCCTGGAAGACAGGCTGGCATGTCTGCTGATTCTTTCTCTTTTTAGCTGGATGCAAAGCAGTTATCACATACAACCAGGGAGTCAGGGGAGGCCGAACCATAGAGCTGAAGGCAACTGTGGATGAAGCTGTGAAGAACTGTCCAAGCATCAAACATGTGTTTGTGGCTCAGAGGACAGATAACAAAGTCCACATGGGTGACCGTGATATTCCCCTTGAAGAGGTATGTTGCTGTTGGATAACTCCTTTCAGGCCTGAGTGTTGGCTAGGATAATCTTTCTCTCCATGAGTGCTTTTGGGACCTGAGTTCTGCTCCTTACAGCATCTGGATCTTCACCCTCAAATGGACTGCCTGTATTTACAGTCTGCTAGGAGTGTGAGTCGAAGCAGCTCAATCTATGTCTGGTTTATCTCAGCATGGGCAAGGGTTATGCTGCTCCATTTCACAAGTCTTGCAAATAGTGCTGAGATTTAAGGAGTGTTTCCTGAGACCCAGAGGCCATGGAGAACATCGTGGCTGTTGTTATTTTCAGACACTGTGTTATGGATTGCATGTGTACTCAGACTGGACACTGCTGAAAGGCAGAGCAGAAATAATGAAGTTCCTAGAGAGGCTTCATCCAGACATGAATAGAGTTGTGGTTGTCCCATGGTGGTAGAATAGTGATGGCTTGGAAATATTTAGAGCCTGTTTTTCCTGGGGAAGAAAACAGCAGTTGTTTTTATGTGTTTAGCTGGCACACATGGGATTCCAGCCTAATGCAGAAGTAGTTTTATCAGTTTGCTGGCAGCAGTAAACAGGAACTACTCATGCTAATAATGCCTGGAAAAAGCTAATCTACTGGCAAGATAATTGCTCAAGAGTCTCTGTGCTGGTCACGTGAGATAGGAAGTACTAGTGTAAGTTAAACAGAGAAGACAAGTTTACTCAGAAATTGTCTTACTCCTTACTCCACAAAGGACGTTCTGATTATTTTCCTTGGTCTGCAAACAGCCTGAGGTACTTCAGTGATCTAAGAGCTGAGCTCATCCCAGTGTCAGTTTTGGGATCTGAAACAGAACAAGAATTAAACAGTTATTGGTGTTAACTGTCCTTACTGATCTTTACAGCAGCTGTACTTTCCAGCTCTTGTGCAATGGCTTACTGCAAAATTTAAGCTCTCTTTGTAATGGAGCATATGAGGATGCCATCTTTGTTTAAAAAACTGACAAGTCAACCTGAACTGGATGTGCTGAAATGTCATGAGAAATACCTGAGATGAGCAGCAGTGCTGTAACTCAGAGGCTAAGAATTACATTTTGTGAACTCTCCCTATTTTATTAAGCTTTGTTTGTCAGACTCTTTTAAACAACTGGACCTACTGATGGTAATGTTCACTTGCAAATGCAGTGTGTTTACAGTGTATTCTCATAAAAAGGCAGTACCAAGAAATTCCTCCAAGGAGCCACCTAATAATTCTTGCAGGAATTATTCATCAGGACAGTACAGAGCTCGAGAGAGGCTCTGACCTAGCAGGGCATTGCATCCTTCCCTCCTGTGGTTCTGACTGTGGGGTGAGGAGAGGGTCTCACCCAGCTGGCCAAATAGTGGAGTATGAAGAGAGTGATGGAGGCAGGAGAGTAAAGTACTCGTCTTCTGGGTAGAAAAATTAGAACTTGAGGGTCAAATGGACAGGACAATCATCTACTGCTGGGGCCAGGGAAGGGAGATGAACACACAATTTAACTGTAGCACTGCAGTTTTTACAGGAAAAGGAAGGTACAAGGCAGTACCCAGCCAGCCTTGCTGCTGCTGTCAAGTTTTTGCAGTCACATTTTGGATTTTTACCAGCAGCTTGCAAAGGCTTGAAATGTAGGCAGCTATGACTTACCATTTTTTTCCCCAGAAATGTTATTTTATCTGGCCAGTTCTCCTTGATTTCTCTGCCCAGCAGAGATACTGGTGGAAATGTTAGATGCTATACTAGGAACTTTTCCACCAGGTGAGCCCATTTCATCTATGATATATCCGTGGACATTTGTGAGGGGCAACAGCAATGGTGGCTCTTGTCTCTGGATACTGTGGCCTTGCTTGCAGAGGGAGTGATGGTTGGCTCCACATAATCAGTCTTTCTGTCTTTACCATGTTTTCTTTCTTAGGAGATGACCAAGGCAGATTCTGTCTGCATTCCAGAGAGCATGGACAGTGAAGATGTGCTCTTCATGCTGTACACCTCAGGCAGCACTGGGAAACCCAAAGGAATTGTTCACACCCAGGCTGGATACCTGCTGTATGCTGCTCTCACACACAAGGTAACTCAGCTGCCTCCTCTGAGAAAGGTTCACTTACCTTTTAGCAGTGCTGACAGGAGAGACCTGGATCAGGGAGGAATGCTGGATTCTCTGCCTGCTGCCCAGTTGGCTTATTGGTTGTAAACAAACTGGAAAACATCTGAACTGTGTCATTAATCTTCAGGATTTTTTCTGAGGAATATGATACTATTCAAACCTGAACATAGAATTATGAAAGCAAGGAAATGACAGTGATGCTCTTGCATTTAAAATGTGCCAATGTTGGCTGCCCAAAATTTGCAGCTGAGGAGATTCTGGAAAGTATCTTACTGGCATTGGTAATGTGAATATTATTGTAGTATTTTGCATTGGGTTGCTGGGTTTTTTTATTTCAGAGAGGATCTGGACGCTTAAAACAGCCTCTTCACACTGTACTTGTCTGAAGAACAAAAATTGCATTTCTCCTCTTGTGGTTGCACTTCTGTTCTGCTTTTCTGGGTGATCTAGGGAAAATGTTTTAACTCCCTTTCTCATGAAAAAGGAAAGAGTCAAGGCACTGCTTCTTGAAGCTTCTGGTCTGAGGTCTGCATATTGAAAGGTAATAGTGAAATGAGGAGAGGACTGTGGTGAAAGATCTCCATCTGGCTTTAGTGGTATCACCCTGTTTGTAATCACACACAATTCATGTGAAGGTTTTCTTTCTTTAGGCTGACATGGTTGAATTTTTAGAAGACTTGAATGTTGAAGTATCAGACTTCTGTGCATGAAGGGCACATTTTTTTTTTTACGTCACCTTTTCTAAGTGACAGCATAAACACCAAGGCATCTCTTTTTTAGTCCAGAATGTAGATCTGCACCCTGGTGCATTTTCTCCATCTGCAGAGTGCATGAGAGGGAAAGGCACATGGAAAAGTAAGGTGAGAATTGTCTTTTATAGGTACAGGGATCAGCTGATCTATGTGATCTCTGTGGTTTTTGCACACTCACATGTGACACTCTTATCACACACTCATGGGGAATTTTTTAGTTCTCATCCATAAACCTGACTCCTTATGAGTCAGGACCTCTTCACCATATGGTAGAGGAGTTAGATTTAGTGGAAGCATTTGCCATATCCAAGAGAAGATAATGAGTTCTCCAAGATCTTTATCTTGAATTTGATGAGCAAGGAGAGGGTAGCATCTGGAAAGCGATGCACTCATATAGAGAAGCTGAGCAGCTAAGAATATTTCTCAGGAAATGTTTTATGGGCACCTATGAGTTCCTCTAGATCTCTCCTGGAAATCTGTTGATATTGGTGAAGGGTCTGAGACTCTGTGGTCTGCAGTATCCCTGCGACTCAGAATCAGCTCTGCCATGTGGAGCACCTGGAGCAGGCAACCTTAGGTGTCCAAGGCTCTGAGCTTTGGCTGGAGATTTGTTGCTCCAGCTGAGCAGCTGCTGGTAGAGCCATGCTTCCTTGTGTGTTTGCAAACGTGTCAGGAGCCTGGGAGCCCTGGTATTCTGACTCGCCTCCTCACCTCGGGCTGGTCTTTGTGTGGCACTTGCCCCGTGCCCTCTCCTGCTCCCAGCTTTGAGCACCTGCCTACAGGAAATCAGCTGGCCTTACCTTTATCTTTGCAGTATGTGTTTGACTACCAGCAAGGAGATGTTTTTGGCTGTGTGGCCGACATTGGCTGGATCACAGGACACAGCTATGTTGTCTATGGACCACTCTGCAATGGAGCCACCTCTGTCCTGTTTGAAAGCACTCCAGTGTACCCTGACCCAGGTGAGGAAGTGGTGGGAAAAGGTTTGGCTGGACGTGGCCAAAGAGGTTTAGAGAGACCTGTCCAGCATGACCTGCCTGCTCAGGTGAGGTAAGCTCCATTGCTTTGGATCCTGTGTGTACAACACTCAGGAACATCTGTGAATCCAAGGTAGGAAAAAAAAAGCTGTCATTGCTTTTGCTTTGTACTCACAGTAGTAACAGCTCCATCTTTAGCTGTTGACCTTTCAGCTGAGCATTTGCAGCAGTATGTCAGTGCTGGAAGGGTAAAAAGCCAGTTTGTGATTTGCAGGTCGTTACTGGGAAGTGGTGCAAAGGTTGAAAATTAATCAGTTCTACGGAGCACCTACAGCGATACGCCTGCTGCTGAATTATGGAGAGGAGTGGGTGAAGAAATATGACAGATCTTCCTTGAAGGTTTTGGGTTCAGGTAAGGGACATGAAATCTTCATCTGAAAAAGACAAAGGGTTCTGTCTGGTGAAATGAAGATGCCAGAGGAGCTCAGCTGATCACATGGGATATGGTTAGAAAAAAGATGATAAAGCAGGCTCTGTGTCTAGCTTTTCAAATATTTTCTCAGCAGAAGAAGCTAAAAAAAAAAAAAAAAATAAATCACATTTTGGGTCCACTGAACTTTTGTATGATTGCCTGTTTCCTAGATTATTTTTCAGGACCACATTCTTGGCTAAAAAGATTTATCTAATGTCAAAGGGCATCACTTTGAATTTTACTGACATAGGTGACCCAAGCAGAATTTTCCTGCATTATTTTCTATTCTGGAGGTTCTTATTACATGACCTGCATTGATCAGTTACTTTCAGTGATATTAATTTCTTGCCTTTTGATCCTTCTGGAAGAAGTCAGTCCTCTGTTACATGAGTGCACTGCAGTCCTTTGTGCATCCCAGGAAAAGTGTGGTGAGCATTCCGCTTGGAGATCACACGTTCAGCTTGTTGTGCACCAAGAGGGAGAATGAACTGCCTCTGGGTCTCCTGGGTCTCAGGTTGTTTTCTTTCTTGTTTTGGTCTAGTGGGAGAGCCCATCAACAAGGAAGCTTGGCAGTGGTTCTACCAGGTGGTGGGAGAAGGGCGCTGTACCCTTGTGGACACGTGGTGGCAGACAGGTGAGAGGCAGCCTCGGGGGCACAGGGGACCCTGACCTTTGACAGGTTGCTGGTGGGGAGAGAGGGTTTAACACATTTCAGTTTGATCCAACAAGTCTGTCAAAAAATCCCTCCTGGCACTTGGATAAGCTTTTGAAAGTCACTGGGGAGTTTCTGCACATAACAGCAAGGTTACATGCAGAATGTCTTATACAACATGTAAAAGCAATAGCAGTGTTGGTTTTTTTGTTTTCCTCTAAATGTTCTTTGATATTTTGAGTGCTGGAAAATGCCAATTGCTGCTAGAAATACGAGGTAGAGATTGAATTTCTGGGCAAAGCTGGCAATAATCAGCTTGGATTGCAAAACTCATTTTCAGTTTATTAACTGCACTAACCTTGGTATGGTCTTATCATGCTAAAGCACTGATAGCACCACATAGCCACAATCTGTACTTAGGTGTGCTTTGTTCCCTTTTCTGGGAATGATCAGGGGAGGATGGAAAACTGTGTAGCCAAAGGGACCTGGTGTAGCTACTCTGGCAGATTGGAAAGGAGTGAGTGGAGATTTGCTGGCTGCCCATCAGGTGGCTGGAGGACAGTGGCCATCACCCAGCAGTGCTGCTGAAGAGCCCCTTCTCCCATGATATATTCTGTAGTTGTGTTGGCCCTGGAGCTCTGATGCCTCAGAAAGGATGCACTTGTGTACTGGCAGCGTGCTTGGCCCAGCTGTGTGCAGCAGTTGAGGTTTGTTTGCTGTGTACAAGCTGGAGCAGAGCTGGCCTCTTCCTCCTGGCCGCCCTGGCCAGCAGCAGGGAGAGGCCATGTGCTGTACCCAAAGTGGGGTTGTACTGCCAGGTGGGGCCCTCTGCTCAAAGGAGTCCTGCAGCTCCTTCCTGGCTCCTTCCTCAGCACCCAGTCCTCCTTTCCCTGGGCACCAGCACTCAGCAGTTGCTAGAGGTGTCTTGCAATATGTCCTTCTCAAGTCATGAGATCCAGTTTGCCATGGAGACAGGAGCACAGCTGCTGGCATTCTGCCTCTGCTGAAAAATAGTCTTAGACTACCATTGAGCAGCATATTCATTCCCTTTCCAGTCAAGCTGCTCCTGATTTCGTCCTTATTCCTGCTAGCAGGCTCTCTATCTCAGAGTGATAAATATTCTCCTGGCACACAACCAAGTTCCATTTAATCCAGACCAGACTTGCAGGCTCTTTTTTTTTAATTTTCAGATTTGAAATAAAACCACCTCAGAATTCAGAGCAGCAATGTTAACAGCTATCTCCTTCACCTACTGATTTCTTAAATCTTTTGAGTTCCTACATGCTGAGCAGAAGGAAAGGTGATGGCTAGGTCTTTGCTCATCATATGCTTTCTTCCTCACTGCTCTGGAAGAAAACACCGTGGAGAACCAGTTGATTGCTGCACATTGATGTAATTGAGAAGAATCCAGTTTTACCCTAACACTTTTTGCTTTGTTTAACTGGTGCATGCAGTGTTCATGCTGTGTTATCTATTTTCTCCAAAGTACAGTGTTATATCTTGTATTAAACTGTATATCTTCTGAGATTTTATCAGGTGACAGGTTAAAAAACACTCACTGGACAATCTGTTAGTGCAGAATGCTTGGTCTTGCCTTGAACCAGTACCAGTTTTGTAAATAAACAGTTACCAGCTCCTGGAGGCATAATTAATGATAAATATTCATGACATTGATTTTATTAGAAAGTGGAATCAATCTTTTTCTACAGCTGATGCTTTAATAAAGAGGAAGCCAATTTAATCTTGGAAAAATTATATATGTCATTTAAACATAAAAGGAGCGTGGGAAGAGATCACAGGAGCAATGTGATGGATGCTGGCTGTGGTCCTGCAGTGTCACCTTTCCTATACAGTTTCAGAATAGCTGGTTAATTGTGCTGCTGTGTGCAGTGTCCTCCACGGGACACTGCTCTCCAATGCAGCAACCTGTTGCCAGCTAATAAAGCCTGGCAGGCATCAGCAAATGGTGATTTAAGAATCCACTTTAAAGTCTTTGGATGAGGCAAATGAGTGAGAGAGCAATCATGAGAGGCAATTTTAATAGTGTAGTGTGTGCAGATGAAAAATTCCTATGGATTTTGCTGTTAAGATACCAGGTTGTGATTGACAGTAATGGAATCAAAGCTGTGTTTGAATTTTAGGTGTAGTTTTTCGTGATGCAGAAGAGACACTAGGTATTTTCACTTTTGTCACTGATTTCACCAAAAAAAAAAAAAAAAAAAAAAGCAGCCATGAACAGAAGTTGGTTTTGAAAGACATCTCTGAATACCCTATGGAAGCTTTTGCTGTTGGTATCATCTCACATTGATTTAGACTGGGCTGGTGCCTCTGGAACAGATTTCCCCCAGAGCAGTCACTCCAATCTGTCTGTGGTAGAGAGCACTTGCTCTACTCTGCTGCCAGACAGGATCTCTCCATGGCAGAGGGGAGCCTCGTTCAAAGCACCCATCCCCTGCTCAGACTCTGCTGTCCTTGCCCAAAGTCTGGGTGGGTTTGTACCCTGTTGAAGCGTGGGCACAGGCAATGTGGAAACACAGCTTTTCTCTGCCAGCTCTGCCTCTGAATAGAAAGGGCAGGGTAGAGCCTAGAAGTTTTGCTTGATGTCATCTTTCAGGGGCTAAAACTGGTACTTCTAAACCAATTTAAAATAGGTCTTCACCGTGCAAATAATTTTTAAGACACCCTTGCTACCATGCAGCTCCCTCAGGAGTGAGACTTTACTGCCTGGTGTGTGGCTGGCTGCAGGATGTGGGGGATGTGGCAAACACCCCATGCTGAAACACAGCTCTCAGTGCTGCATGTAGGATGAGGACTGGCTTAGCAAGAGCAGCCTTCAGTTCAGTCAGGGTCCCTGTCCTGATGCAGGTTTTGTCTGTGCAAAGAGCACAGGAGGTGTCTGGGGTGCTTCTTCCTGGAACAATTCAAGCTCCTCTTTTCAAAATTTACAGAAACATGAAGGAAATGCATGCCCATCGATGAAATGGGAAAGACTTCTATGTGTGAGCCACATGTGAAAACATTTGCTAGAGATCTAAAGCTTAAGGACATCAGAGACCCTTCTTCAGAGCTGGATGCAAATTCAGGGTCAAAATGAGCCATTCCAATCCCTGGTTTCAATTTTCACAAGCTCAGCAAAGCTGGTAGAGGAATGCACTCTCCATGTGGCAGAACATACCTTTATAAATAGAGCTGTATTTTAAAAGCCTTATTCTCCTTTGTTTTTGTTTCTCTCTTGTGTTTCTGAATTAGATTTAGAATAGAAAAGACCTCATTAAGGTTGGAGTCTGATTTAATGTTCATCCCAGCAGGAATGAAAAAGGATGATTAAAAGGTTCAATTTTAACTAGAAGATAAGCTCAACCTGCCTGTACGGGGTGGGTTAATTTCATACTCTGTAATAACAGTAATTCAGACTCCTGAAGTGCTTTTCCTGCTAACCTCAGACAGCTGTAGAAACACTAGAGGGAGATAAATCCCCTGACATGCTTATGCTTTCCCTGTAAAATCACTTCTGGGTAGGAGTGGGGCTGCTAAGTACTGCCCATGCCAGTCTGTGCTTCTTGGTCCTGCAGAAGTCATTCCCAGTGGCTCTTTCTTGCAAGGTGGCTTCAGTGTTTTCGTCTTGACCTAAGAAAAGCTGGAATTTGCTTTCACCCCACAGTGGATGGACTATAAGTATTTTGTTTTTCATTTTTCTTCCAGAAACTGGTGGCATCTGCATTGCCCCACGGCCCTCAGAGGAGAAAGCTGAGATCGTTCCAGCTATGGCTATGAGACCTTTCTTTGGGATTGTGCCTGTGCTCATGGATGAGAATGTGAGTTGGAGCTGTGCTGGGTGCCCAAGTGAGAAGCTGGTGTGTGCTTCTGCTTTAATCACCTTTTGGATGGCAAAGGAGCAGGGTCCAGAAGGATGCTTGTTTCTCCTTAAAAATGGTAGAATAGATGAGCAATTTATATGTATATATTTATATATTTATATATGTATATATGTATATATTTTTATATTTATATATAGATATATAAATATATTTATATATTTATATATTTATATATTTATATATTTATATATTTATATATTTATATATTTATATATTTATATATGTAGAGAGAGAGCATATCTCAGTTGTCCATACAGATTTGCCAACAGGGCATTGCAAGTGTCTAGAAGAGTTGTTTGCAATTTATTTTCTCCACTTGTGACCCTCCACTGGCAGTCTGCAGTGAGCAACAGGCTGACTCTTGTTGGATCAATGCCACAGAAGCTCTTTTGTTCACCTGTTCATCCTTGTTATTCCTCTTTTGTTCACCTGTTCATCCTTGCTGTGCTTGAACCTGCAGGGAGAGGTTATAGAGGGCAATGATGTGTCTGGTGCACTCTGCATTGCCCAGCCATGGCCTGGCATGGCAAGAACAATCCATGGGGATCACCAGCGCTTCGTTGATGCCTATTTCAAAGCCTACCCAGGTAAGGAAAGGGCCAGGGGAAGGCAGTTTCACTGCAGTATAAGCACACTGAGTATTTTCAGCAGTACTTTCTGCTGTTTCATGGTGGCTTGGGGTGTGTGTCACGGGTTGTAAGCATGCCCTGATGGTTTTAGGTTGTGTTGACCTTTCTAGCTGTCAAAAGGGATGTATTTTCTAGAAAACTTTAATGCCCAAGCACCTTTTCTCTGGAGCTTTGTATCTCACTTGGAAAAAGGCATATTGGATGGGAAATACCTCATACATCACCAAATCTTAACCCTGTGATACAACCTTCCTTTTTAAAATATGGTCAAGTTGTCTGGTAAATAACTAGAAGTGGCAGGGAAACATTTTTGGAAGGACATTGGACAACACAACTGTTATCACTCAGAAGAAATTGAAAGGGATTTGAAAGCTACAGAGTGCAAGAATTAGACAGGCAATCCTGAAAACTGTACAAAATGAGCTAGATAATAAAATGGGAAAGTGTTACAAGAAATTGAATGACCCCATAGTCTCTTATTACTCACTACATTTGTATCTGATGTCTTGTTGGTGTTTAGTTGATAGCTGTTTAATTGATCTGGAAGGGCAGAAAACATGACTGAAAGTCCATGAATAGGGCAATAATGGGTCCTGGCAAGAACCACCTTCAGATTTCACAGCAGTAGCTGCCTGCTGCTTCTCAGATGTGCCACTGGAACAGTTCAGATCCCGACATGGGCTTGGTGAAGAGCCAACACAATCTGTGTTACAGGATGTTCCTCAGTGAGACTGGAGTTTCCAGGAAACCTTGGGCCTTTTCCAGTTTCCATCAAATGTTTTAGACCCTCCATGCTTATCATGGGGTGGTTTGGAGTTTTTAGCTGATCTGATTAGCAGTGTTTCTCCCACATTCACATGCTAGAGAGTGACTGTTCTCTGGGATCTGAATCTCTGTTAGCTGGGAGGGAAAATGGCTTTTCATTCATCGTAGTGAAAGTGATTTAAAAAAACCTGGCAGTGTTCCCATGTACAAAATGTAATAGAGCTGCTCCCTTTCAGCTGAACAGCTGTAGTTTTCCACTTGTGCTGCCAGCAGCAGCTCTGAGCTTGACCAGTAGCCTGTGGCATGATGGCAAATGGCATTTGAAGTGGTTTTACCTTAGCACTGTGTGCACCAAGAGGTGTGAGCACGCAGCTGTTGTGCAGATGTAGGCAGGCAAAGCCTAGAGAGATCAGAGAGCCCCTCCCCTCCTGGTAAGTCCAGCTGAGCATGGCTGGGTTGTGTGGCTGGGCTTGGTTTTACAACAGGAACATCAGCCACTGGTTGCTGCTGATTGCCTGCACTGATTTGTCCATCTTGGCAGAGACCTGAGCTTCACCATCTTGGTGCTATTCAGGTGCTTATTGGGAGCCAGCACAGCCCAGGCAGAGCAGAGGAGGGCAGGGATGGCAGAGGGGAGTGGGAAGTGGTGGGAAATGGTGGGAGGCAGGTCACACAGGTGCGAGCTTGCAAAGGTGGCACCCTGCCCTAATGGCCACCCTAGAGCAGGGTCTGTCCTGCACCAGAGCCCAGCACGGGCACACTTGCTGCTGCTGATCAGCCCTGTGTCTTGCTGCAGGTTACTACTTCACAGGGGATGGTGCTTACAGGAGCCACGAAGGCTATTACCAGATCACAGGGCGCATGGATGATGTCATTAACATAAGTGGGCACAGGCTGGGGACGGCAGAAATTGAAGATGCAATGGTAAGTTCCAAGCAGGTGGAGGTCCCTTGACAGGGCATGTCTGTGGGGTAGGGTGACCCTTTCAAAGCAGCTTTGTCTCTTGCCTTCAGACCTCTGCCCCTGCACAGACACAGCTTGATGCACAATGAACAGCAAAGGTGCAGGAGGAAACATCTCCCTTTTTGAGGAGACAGCAGATGAGCAAGTGAGGGGAGCCACACTGTGGGCAGTCCCTGCAACTGAGCTGTCGGAGCTGTGTTTCCTCTCAGTGATGTGCTGTTGTAGTTGTCATTTTGGATGCTGGTGGGCACTCCATAAATGTCTCTCCTATTTCTTCCTTCCCCTCTGCTGGCCTCTCCTTCCTAAACCTGTGGTTCCTGCCTATCTGAACTGGCTGAGTATGCCTGAGAATTCAGCAATGTTAAACACAAAGCAACACTGATTTATGTCAGCTGCAAAGCTAGCCTATCATTTTGAGAGAAAATAGTATTATCTCTGGGAATTGAAAACAAAAAGTCCTCAGAGGGTTTATATTTAAAGCTTGACCTGTATATTTATTTCTGTATTATGTGCCTTACTTGCATATGGCACTTAAATGTAACATCTGATGAACCTGAGCTGTGTTTACATGGAGTACAGAATCATACTTTATCCTCTGTGAGTAATTCTTTTGTCTGTGCAAGTTTCTGATCCTACTATAGGATCCAGTTCCTTTCACAATCTGTGTTTGTGTATGCATGTGTAAAGAAAATATATTTATGTGCCTAGATTGCTCTATGGTGTTTACTTTCATATTTTAAGCTAATTTAAGATAACATAATCCATTCTTTAGTGTGGGATGCAGATGCATGTTTTCTTCTGGTCTGTGCACTTCTTACTGCAGAAGAATGTTAAATTAAACTCTGCAGTGCAACAGAAGTAATCACTGATGTGTAGCACAGTAACAAAAATGCATTTGGGCAAGGGAATGAATAAATCTGATTCTTTCTGCCTTCTGGTATGCTTTATGCACGTGTAAACACAAGTCCAGTGTGCACTGTGATGTTGGCAACTTCACTTTTTACCTCTGCTGGCCACAGCTCTCTGTAGCACCGAGCACTGCAAGACTGGTTTTGCTTGTGATTTGGCAGTGGCCAGTTGCCATTTGGGACCACAGTCATGCACAAAGAAAGAGAAAGAGGGTTTCCAGCTGTTGCAAATTCAGCTTGGTGTGCAGTGGGCTTAGCCGTGGAGTAGTTATTCTCTGACGTGGCTGTGGCCATGGCCACCAGCAGGAGGCTGTTTGTTTATGAAAGCAGGGCCAGTACAGAGTTACTCCCTGAGACATGGCTGTGGCCATGGCCACCAGCAGGAGGCTGGCATCCAGCTTTCCTGTTGTCCCTTCAGCAGGATCTGTCAAGGGGAGAGCAAGCTGTTTTGTTTGTAGAGCAACTGGCACAAAATCTGTAGGGCTTGAAGCAGTTCTGATTTGTGTGTTTTTGCTTGACTTTTTGTGAAGGCTGATCACCCTGAGGTCCCTGAGACAGCTGTGGTTGGGTATCCACATAAGATCAAAGGAGAAGGTATGTGAAAAGCAGTATCCTGACATGATATCTGCATCTATTTCCCTTAAATTCTAACTCAGACTGCATGTTAGGAGTTGCTGAGGGAATGGGAGGGCAGCTTTCCTTAGGCTGACTGGCACTGCAGCCCCAAGAGACAAAGATAGCCAGGAAAATAGCTACATGTTCCTAACCTGGGTGTTACTCCCTAAGCTGTTTTCATCCATAATGTTCATGTATATGGTAGAGCTTCCTTTATAGGATTGTGCTTAGAATGTCCTTTGAACAGAATGGGAATGGCTGATTTACATTGGCCAACCTTTGATCCCAATAACACTTTGGTAATTTATGTTGACTTGTCATTGTCACGGACATCAGTCACAGATTCCAAGAAAAGGCTGGGCCATCATTTGAGGGGTGCAGTCTGACTTGCTTTTGTAAAAAAGGTCAATGGTTTTCTTGTCAGCCCCTAGATTGTGCATAGGAATGATCTGAAACCTTCCTTGGCATTCAAATGAGCATCCTTGGTCTTTCCAGACAGTTTCTAATACGATGTTTATGGCTTCTGCTCATTTGTCTTCCAGGTGCCTTTGCTTTCATAGTGCTAAGGGAGCAGACAGCTCATGCAGACCGTATCAAAGAAGAACTCAAAACCATAGTGGCTTCCAAGATAGCAAAGTATGCTGTGCCTGACCACATCCTGGTAAGTGGGAGACTGAAACTGGAACCAGCAACAGGAAATGGTCACATCAAGCAGCCCTCACTGCCCTGCCTGCAGTGCTGCTGTTGTCCTGCTCTGGCAGGATAAAGAGGCAGGAAAACAGGACTGGCAGCAGGGATCCATGGAGGGGGAGGGCAGGTGCAGAGGTCTGTCTGTATGTGAGAGAGGCACTGAGAGGCAGTCACACTGCCCAGCTAGCTTGCAGTGATCATTAGCATCAACATCAGACCTCAAAGCACTGACTGTGTCTGTTGCACAGCAGGCCTGGCCCTGGAAGCACTGATGAGCTCAAGCTCTGTCTCAAGCTCCTCACCTTTCAGCAGCACCCTTTATTTGTTAGGGGAGAGCTCACAAAGCTGCCCTGTAGCTGTCCCCCAAGGTCTGCCTGCATCATTTCTCTCTTCTTGGAGGCAGTGACCAGATACTTCTTTGAGGGGCTCTGCTTTAGCCACATGCATGTAAGGTGGACACCAAGGCACAGGCAACAGAATACAACAGGAGCAGCCAAGAGTGGCTCCTTCAACTTGGAACACCCCAGGATATCCTCAGTGGATTGGAGAAGTTTCCAGAACTTGCAGGTGTGCAAGGGAATGCCTCCATTTCTCTGTATTTTGGGGTAGTCCTGCAGACAAGTCCTCTTAACTCTTTCCTCGCACGTCAGTTAATGCTATAGAATTTTGTAGCCTGCTGGCCTGAGTGTGTGGCAAAATGTGAGACCTGTTGTTGTCTCTGCTCAGTGTCTGAGACCTCTTCATCAGGCTCACATTTATGCTAAAGCCTTTTATTTGCTGCTAAGTCCTTCCCAGGAGGTCTAGCCAAGGCATTTAAGATTGTTCTGGTTATGAAGGAAGGTGTGTAGGCTGACAGATACCAGGCAGAGAGAAACATCAGCAGACAAGAGATATTCCTTGAGTAGGAGACCCTGCAGCTGATGTGCAGAATTGTGTTGCTTTATATTCCTGCTCTGTAAAGCTGAATATAAATATATTTCTGTCTGTTCTGGTAATGTGTTGAGATTTGTGTCACCATTTGTGCCTAAGTTTTCATGTGTAATTGGATTTTAATAGTTAACAGCATATTCAGGTCCTGATTCCTAAAAGAGCTGTGCATCCTACAGTACTCAGTCTGGACGTGGAAATGGGGAACAAAATCCACTCAAAATAAGAATAAAATGTATGGCTAGTGGCACTCCTTTCCTTGGATGTAATCTTGTGTGAATGATCTATTTCCCAGGAGCCTCAAAGGAGCTGTGGCCATGAAATAGTGTGCCAGGCCTAGGACAGCCCAGCCAGATTTCCGTGTGGTTTCCAGCAGGACTCAAGTTCTGTTAAAGGTGCATCCTTCCCTTCTTTGCAGGTGGTAAAGCGCCTCCCTAAAACCCGATCAGGGAAGATCATGAGAAGGCTGCTGAGGAAAGTAGTCACTGAACAGTCAAGCAACATGGGAGATGTCACCACACTTGATGATCCAAGTGTTGTCAAGGAGATACTGGATGCTTACCAGAAATACAAGGAGAAGAATTCCTCGTAACAGGCGGCTCTGGAATTTCTCTCGTTCGGAAATGTGGAAGGTCTCAAATAACCAGGCAAACAACATAGTTCTCTCCTGGTGTTTTTTAAAAAAATACTGTTTCCTTGTAGGGGAACAAGATTTTCCACTCCACAACATTTTTGAGATGGCACAGGGCTAGAAGCAGTCAGCAGTTTTCCACCATCAGTGAACTCCTTTTCCTTGCGCTCAGGGCTGTTGTAGGGCAGCTGCTGGTGGTTTCCATGAGCTATGCTGAAATTTAACATGGGCTAAAGCAAGATGCAGATGCTCTTTTTAATGTTCCTCTTTTTAATGTTACTGTACAGGGAAATGTTTTTTACACAATACTTCTTGCTGTTTTAAAAGAAGCCCTGGAAACCACTTCTTCAATGTTTTCCTTCAGCTTGGGTGTCTGAGTCTAAGCAGCTGTATTTCACTGCAGCTGTGGTGCCTTTCCAGCAATTCTGGCTGTTCTGGTAGGTGATTCATATGCATTGATAGGGACATGAGAAGGACATGGCTACTCTGATAATTCTTCCCTGACTTTACCCATTATTCTAATATCTCCTTTGGCTTTCCTCATATGGATTTGTTCCTACCACCATGTGTCCTGGGGCTTCCCAGAGGTGGTGAGCCTGTGACCCTTCAAGGTAACCCAGCAGCAGCTCTTGCAGCTGCAAAAAGGAGCCACAAAGCCCATGACTGGACTTCCTTCATATCCTCAGTGCATTGCTGCCATGCTGATTTACCAAAGAATTAATTGCCATGTGGGTACCCACAAACTGCACAGTCCTCTAAAAATTGAAGTGCCTCTTGCCTTTTGGAAAGTGAAGCAGCATTCCAGACCAGCAACCTCAGAATAGCAGGGAAAAACTGCCTTTGTTGTTCCTATGCTTTAAATGCAAAATTGCACTTAATTTAGTCAGTGTTTTATTTTTGGATTCATTTTATCATGACCACATTCCAGTTGAAGTGCTCCTTACATTTGGGCTGTACAGAAGAATGTGCTAGTAGGCCTGCTTACTCCTGAGTTTAATTGGATCCACACTGCTTTTTCCAGGGGGACTGTGTATCAGAAGGATAATTTGTGCACCTAACTGGAGGCAGGGAAGGCAGGAGGGAAATGGGTGGGTGATCTGTAGGACTGGGAAAGGTGTGGGGAGCTTTTTGGCCAGCAGAGATTCTGGTACCACAGTGGGAAGCAGGCTGCTTGAAGTATGATATGTTCTCAAAGACCAGGTGTGTTGTCTTAGATCCCAGATTTCCTCCAAGGACACCAGCTGCATTTGCTTTTTTAAAAAAATTATTTTAAATGTCTCTAGGGACTGAATAATACAGTAAGGAATACATGCTTTGTTAAATATCCCATCCTTCTGACTGAAATGCATTTTATATAAGGTAAGTAGACACCCTGTGGACTTTCTGGGAAGTTGAAGATCAGAAGGTTTGAAGGTTTGACAGGCTGTTGATATTTTAGGAGATAGACACCACTTTACTGCCATTGCAATGGAAAAAAACCCCAAAAACAACAACTTGCTTCATTAAGTAATTTTCAAGTGGGAAGCAGACAAGAGTTAATATTTTTGACAGAAAAAGTGCACTCACTTGTTTAAACAAGTTGTTTCCACGCAGTCTGAAATAACAGTGTGGAGGAAGAAAAATTACTTTTTAAAAAGATTACACACTTTTCCTTTAATCAAGAAAGCATTTCTTATATTATGGACATAGAACTTGTCTTGTCGACCTGAAATTTCCCTGTGTGTTGTCCCAGTGGTCACAGACCCATGGTTTAATTAATCTGAACTGTCTCACAAACACTCCCTGTGTGAGGAGCAGTGTGCTTTGGTGCATTGGGACATTTGTCATCCAATTCCTCTGCTCAGGGAAAATGAGAGATGGGGGCACTCCCTCACCTGCATCCCTTTTGCCTCAGCTTGCATGGGCTTAGGGAGCATGGCTGTCAGGGAGGTTCCAGGATAACCAGGAAGCTGCAGAAGCACAGTGAATTCACAGCTGGCACAGCTGTGGTGCAGATGGAAAGTTGTGGCTGCCCCATTCCTGAAAATGTTGAAGGCCAGGTTGGATGGGGCTGTGAGCAGCCTGGTCTAGTGGCAGGTGTCCTGCCCATGGCAGGGGGGTTTAACTAGATGATCCTTGAGGTCCTTTCCATACAAAGCTTATTTCCACAGCTGAGCTGTGGTGCTTGGGATGCCCATCTGCTCAGAGGCCCACCTGGGGTGTTCCAAGAGAGCAGGTGGTGCTGCTGTGCTGCCCACATGGGGTTCTGCAGTGGGCACAGCTTGTGCTGGGCAGCCTCAGTCTCCTGGTAAAACTGCACTTCTGTCAGTGGCCTGTGCCCAGCCCATGCAATGGCACCCTGAGTCTGGTAAAAACACAGCTAGGCAGGACTTGGAAAGGGCACTTCTTGTGAAAAGAAGCACACTGTACTTTACTGAGCAGGCTACTCATAGAAAGCTTTAAATTAAAATTGAAATTTTACATCTTCCTTCCAGAGTTTAAAGTTTCCATCCAGAGAAGTCCCCATTTCTTCTTTCTACCCCCTGTGTCTGCTAACTGCAGCAGTTGCCTCTTCAACTTGAGCTGAGCTTTGCATTTTCATCAACAACAGCACTCCTGTGTGGTGACAATGCTTTCTACTTCATATGCAGCAGGCTTGTGGCTCAGGGAGGGATTCAGCCCACAGAATTGGAACTGGCTTCCTCAGTGCCTTAAATGCCAGGAAGGAGGAAATTTCTGAAGTACCCCAGGCCTGCAAGGCTCTTAAGACAAGAGCCTTCACCGATCAGTGGTCAGATATCAGTGGGATCATAGGACAAACTTGGGGGCAATTGCTTCATTTAGAAAAGCAGAGTTGTTGAATTTTTCTAAACCTTTGTGTGTTCATGAGTGATGTATGGGTTGTTTGTCAGATTGCCTTTGTATCTTCATTAAAAGAGATTCAAAGTCAGTTTTACCTGTTGTCGTTTATTACAAAGGGCCAGTATGCTTTTGTTTCCCCACTCAGTTTGCCAGTAAGATCTGGTCATGGTGCTTTCCCCCCCAGGTGGAGACACAGACCATGATTTTTCCAATTCTGTAAAGGGAAAGCTCCATCTGTCTAGAAGTATGTTTTGTACAGTCTAATGTTAAGCCTTTAACTGAATTTTGTTTACTTGTAATCATGCTTTAAACACATTTCTTGTCCTTAATCAAAACCAGTGTCTTCACTGATCTCTGTGTTCATATTTTCAGTAAAGGAAATAGGTGTGATGGGTTGGCTTTCCATTGTAGGTGTCAGACCTTCTGTCCTCTCAAGGGTCTGGGACTTCCTCAGTTCTCTGAGCTTTCAAAGGAAGGCAAAGGAGTTTGAGATCAGAATGAATTGTGATCCAAATTGCTGTTTTGCTTTGCTCCTTTTCTCTAAGCAGTAGTCCAGAGGAGATAATGCCAGAAAACTGCCACTGCAAAAAAGAGCAAAGTTGAAGAACGCTTGGATGTTAATAAACTGCATGTCCCCTATAAATCCTTAGATCCCTCTGCTTTACACTTTTTCCTGTGTGATGCAAACAGAGAATAAGGAGTGGGAATATTTAATTACCATTAGTTGATATGGATAGTTCAGTTCCTTGCTTTGTGCACACCTTGCACAAGTAGAAAAGGAGTGAAAGCAGGGTGTGTGTGGGCAACGTGAGAGACAGCATTGTGTACAAAGTGTATAGCTGTTCCAGAGACAAGCAGATGAGAAGGAATTTCTTTCCAGGTGCTTTGGATCATTTGTAAGTGACACAAAACACATTCTCTGCAGGGTGTCTTGTCCCTTAAGAGTGAGAAAGACTGAGTTTGATCCCCTGCCTACCCTGTGGATAAAACAATAGGCATAATGAGGGGATGAACACCATTAGCCTTCTATCTCCAGCAGCTGCTTTTGGAAAGGTTCCAGTGCCACTTGTAGCTCTTGTAACCCTCTGGCAAGTCACAGAAAGGTCTAGGCAGAAAAGCAGGTGTCCATCTCCTCACTTTGTCTCAATGCAACAGCTGTTCTGATCTATTTACTGATAATTTACTGGTAAAATGGAGACTGTTTTCTGGTCTAACGCAATTATTTTTAAGGGCTGTCTCTGTGACCAATTAAAGCCACAGAAATTGATTTCAGCAACAGGTTTCTGTTTTTAAATTACTCAGGAACAGATTATCCTTTTCCATCTTGAAAACAGACAGTTCTGGACAGGGAATTGCCTTCTGGCTGACTCTAGAGGTGAAGCATGCTTTTCATGGCAGTGACCTCAGCCCTGTTTTGTCTGCGATAGAAGGACCTGGGGACATAACCACCTTTTGCAGTGGGAATGATCACGGTTGTGCAAAAATTACCAGCCTACAAACAGTGGCAATAAAATTGTGTGAACATGAGCTGAAGAATCCCAACTCTTTCTTTGGCTGGTGGGCTGGAAAAAGAGACTCTCGGGTCATCTGGACAGCAGAAGACCCGAGCACCCGAGGCCCTCCTGCCTGCCCTTTTCCCCAGGGTGCCCTTCGCTGATGCTCGCCTGCCCACCGCTCAGGGAAATGCACCCAGTCCTGCCCCTCCCCACTGCCCCGGGGATGAAAGGATGAAAGAAACTCTCCAATGATGACAATGACAACAAAACTATTTATTTTTGACAGCAAATGAGCACCCAATGCCCTCCAGCCCTCCCAGACTGGCAGGCTGAGCAGTGCCATTTCCACAGCATGAGGTGCTGGTAGCCGATGCCCGGGAATGCTGCTCGGCTCAGGGGGCAGAGTGTGGACAAAAGCTGCATTCAAAGTGATGATTGCAAGACCCTGGGGCCACTGGCAAGTGCAGCCACTCTTCTTCATTCCTTGCAGGTGAGAGCCCAACCTCGGAGCCCGTCCCTGGGGACAGGGAAAAGCACTGAGGATAGTTTTGGATTTTCAGGGACAGTCAAAATGAGAATTGCTTTGAGGCAGGTGTTGTAATGTTGGGTTTGGGTATGTCTGCAGGAAAGCAAGCAGGAATAAACCCCAGACACAATGAAGGAGAACTTTGCATGGCAAATTTACACTCTACAGATACATGGATCATACCTGCCCACTGAACACGGAAATGCATGCCTGGAACAATGAAGTAGAACAAAAGAGGAATGTTTGGATGGTGAATTTATTCCCTATAGCTCTTGGCCAACTGAATTCTGAGATCATCTACTGGGGAGTGCAAAGCTTCTTTTACTTTCAATGCCCAGTGCCATTGTTTGTGTCCCATCACTTTGATGTGAAGAGAAATGAACAAAATCCCACACCAACAAGCTGCAACCCAGAACTGAGTGGGAATTACAGAGATAAAGGCCTTCAAAAGTAGCTTTGGAAAGGGTTGACATCCTAGACAGTGTGAAACCCTCAGGCCTGGCCAGGCTGGGCTTAGGGCTGGTTCCCCTTGGGAAGGGAATGGAAGGGGATGGAGTTGGGGTGGGGTTTTGCAGCCATGGAAATGAGAGACCCATGGTGAGTGTGTCACAAAGGGGCAGCCCCACGCTGGGGCTGTGAAGGCTGTGAAGGTTGTGGTTGGCACGGCCACAGCGGCAGCAGACGCGTCTGGCTCTGCCTGTCTGTGCCGGGCGCTGGCGATCGGAGCCACCCGACCTTGTTC